ATATATTTTTTTTTTTTTTTTTTTTTTTTTCAACTGAACAGATTCTAGTAAACACATTACGATCAAATTGAGGATACCACTGTGATCGCTTCTACCACAATATGTTCAGGTTAGTGTTCAGTAGTACTAACCACAACTTGACGCGGCAGATAATACGAAATTAATTAGTCGAAAGCACAATGAGTATCTATATTTTGCATGTATCATGAGATAAGGTCAGTTTGTTGACATCCCAGTAACTTCGATGATCAGAGCGACTGGAGAGGTGATACAAGTCTTGAAGTAAATAGTGTAAACCCTTAAAACTCTTGAAACTGATAAAAGGCAAATAGATAGTATTGGAATCGGCGCGATAATTATTATGTAGTTAAGAGCAAGACAATCGCACTTTTGCTGCTGTAGAATTCGTATGGCATTATTGTTGGAACAACCAGAAATCATTGTAGTATTATAAGTTTCTACCGGTTTCTACCACAGCCTCTGGAGCATACGCTACGACAATATTTTTTTAGTGCATCTTTAAACATCAGTTGGGGATGTATATTGCGCGAATGGTAAAACCAGACACAATAGACTAATGACATAAACCCAAACAGGCCATCGTTCGTGGATGATGACCACTACTGCACAAGAGCGTGATTTATTGTTCGCTCGCGAGAGCACGAGATTATTTCCTTTAGTGCATTCTCTACGTATCGAACTTTAAATGTTTCGCTGAGTTAATACCTGTAGATTTTATGATAAGATATTTTATTTTTCAAACCACAAAGTATATTTCTATTGATCGATGAAACATTAGATTTTAGAGTATAACTTACTACATTAAAGTCATCTCAGGGATAAACCATTACCTTGTATTCATTTTGTATGTACCAAAACCTATCGCATGGCTTCCCAATTTATTATTTTTCATCCAGCTCGAAGTGCACTTTGTGGTAGAATCACTTCGTTTACCAACACCACTATTTTTGTAACTGCCTGCGCTTTATCGTTCAGCACTAATTTTTCTTCTTCTTTGTTTTCAACAAAAGCTACTCTTGTATATATAAGGACAACTCACCGATAATTTATTACTTGTTCCGATCTCTGTTTCGTCAATTTCCCAGCACACAAACTAGTTACGATACATTTGATGCTTCTTGTTTTTTACTAATTAATTTGTTAGTAAAAAAGGAGCTCAAGTCAATCCTTGTAAAAAAGCCCGCACCCATTGTAGTAAAAAACCGTACAATAAGCAAAATAAAGAAAAAGACAGATGGAGCGTCTGTCATCGAGTTTCGAGGTGCCCTTACACTCGATATATAAAGTCGCGCTTACGAAGAAGAAGTTGTCTTTTCCGCGCACGAGGGTGGCAGCAGTAACAAGAGGAGGATGGAGATAATCCCCAAGACACATAGACAGTAAGTAAGCATACACATCCGCAGAAGGGCCGAAAACTCGAGCGGAGTCGGCGTGTATACCGTGTAGCTTTTGTGCACACGTATATACACACGTGTACAGGTGAAGCCGAACGGGATGGCAGGCGCGGAAGTGGCGTTATCACTGCCGCGGGGGAGCTGTAGTATCCGTACACAGCGAGGGGGTGAAGGAGGAGCCGGGACGATATCGTGGGCTTGCATCGTCTGGGGCGGTCTGGGGGCTCGCGCGTTGCCTTTTCCTCTTCTGTCTGTCTCTCTTTCTCTCTCCTAGTCGCGGCTCTTATTTCACCGCGGACGTGTGTGCTTTTACACAATAGGCCTGCAGTTCTGGAAAAAAAAAAAAAANCATATCTAATTTTACAGCATAATTTAATTTTCGGATTGCCTCAATCCTGAATTTTATGAAAGATTGCCAAATAAAAAATAAATGCTATCAAATCTTACGCCGCAAAAAAATTTTTCAACAATTTTTTTCTAATAAACTTAAGTTTAATGTTTAAGATTAATTTAATTAATACTGAGTATTGAACATACAAAATTAAAAGGAAAACATATTACGAAGTAAATAATTAAGCTATGAAATATCATTACCTATTAATAGATATACCACAAAGAAAACGTAGTTTTCTAAGAAGGAGAATAGTATTATAGCATACAGTACATGAAAGACCTAGTAACAAAATTAGCATTTTGCATGAAAAGTTTCATTTGGTCCGTTCCATTTGTATAATTTTTAAATATAATCGACACGTACTCTTTTTTTTTTTAATTAAAAACTTTACAAGATATAGCCTCTTTAAGATTTTCTATTTTTTATCGCTATATATAAATGTTCCTTGCGTAAATGACGTTATAATAAAATCTGTGAAAAACAGTCATTTCGATTTTTTACTATAACTCGAGTAAAAATTAATATTTTTCCTTGAAACTTTCAGGAATACTTAGTTTTGGTATAATGTACACTATATTAAATTTTGAGCTAATCCAATGTAACTGTTTATATGTTATTTGAGGTTTTACGTATGTTCGATACTTTTTTCAAAACCTTGTATCTTTAAAAGTTTAAAATCGTTGTTAATTTTTTTGGGCTCATTTTTTTTGGACATAATTATAGAGCATTCATGTGCAATTTTTTCTTCACATCGTCATATGTATGTGAATATTTTTTTTTGTGCCATTTAAAATACCACAATTTTTAGGTACTATATCTTTTTAAATTTTTATTTTTAAGAAAAAAAAAAAATACGTGTCGATTATTTTTCAAAATTATGTAAGATGGACCAAATAGAATTTCTCATGCAAAAATCTAATCATGGTTTTTAGAAATTTCTGCGATGTCAATGTATTGTCCTATATAGAATCGTATTGATTCGCAGACAAATAATAAAATTTACTGATATGTCTGCACTTATTTTTCCATTTTAGATTTGGACTTTTCTTATAACCCTCATCGTTTTAATGCGTATGAGTTGATTAACAAAGGATAATTTATAAACCTTTTTTTTACTAACGTATGTATCGTGTATTAGGAATATTAAAACATTTTTAAATGTAGTATATTCATTCAATTTAATTTTTCATTAGTGATAGTTATTTACAATCTTAGTTCAGCTATTAATTTCAAAAGGATAAACTAGCAAAATAATTTTATTTTAAACAGTTCAAACAACGTGAATTAGTTTTATTTTAATCTTGATACAATTTAAGACGGTTAATTTTTCATAACACCTCACCAAACAAGCCACGTGACTTGTCTTAAGCAATCACACAATAAATAAAAAGTTAATCACGTGTCAGTCAGTCATGTAAAATAAGATCTAGTAAAAATATTTAAATAAATGCTTACAAACATATTTGAAATAATTAAATTTATTACTCTATAAAAAGAGTATTTAAAAAAAAATATTTTATCAGGAACAAAGTACTGTATAATATTCTGATGGATTATGAAAAAATAGAAATAAGATTATCATGCATTTTGTATCCATATTCAATTGCAATTTAAATAGTTCCAGTTGTGCTCTATGTGTAAGAATTAATTTTCTTACAAATTTGGCTGATGCATCTTCTTTTATAAAGGTCCTTTCAATTGAAATTATGAGAAACAGACATATCGTATACTAACCATAATAAGAACCATTTATCTAGAAAAGTTATGCAGACAAACGAAACTGTAAAAACTACTATACTAGAATGATGCTCTCATATTATTCCACCTTTTAGAAATTATTTACTTTCTACTAACTCATGTTTGTCATGCTAAAGGATAATTTCTTTTAATTTATAGTAGAAACCTTTTTACTACAGTCACAAGTAGTATTGAACAAACAGTAAAAAAAAAGTACGTATAATAAAAAGCTCTAAAATTTCAGAGTTGTACCAATTGACTAATATTTTAGTATAGTGATTCTTATGATTGTCTCATAGTATGCACAATAAAGAAAAAACTTAATTTTTTTTTGGATTACAAGCGTACAATGCAAATCGTTTATCTCGACACAGTCTTTTTGAACTACATGGAACGTATTTCTGTTGTTTTAGTTCAGGTTTATAGTTCCAGCACAACTTACTAATATTACTAATATTTGTGTTATTTATTATTTTTAATACTATTTGTTACGATTCTGGGGAAACGTATTCATTGCTGGTAACAACGATTTGCCTTATTTTTTATTGTTTTCTTCAATTGTATTATTTATAAACCAGCAAAATTAATAAAATATTTTATTTATATTAGTAAAAAACATATAATTTTAAAAATAGTTTTTTTTACCTTAGATAAATTTTACTGGAATCACACATTTTTTTTAAATGCACGTGATTGTTAGTTATAATAAATAACTGATTTTATTTTCTAAAAAATAACGAATCTTAAAAATAGCCCATAGAAACATCATAATTTAACTTTAAGTTACAGTCAGCTGCAGTAAATGCGTGGCTCAAATTCGTTAGACAGCGTCTCGTCTCATGGGTCGCTACCTTCCTGCGCTTCGTCGGTTCACTCTTTTCTCCTAGGGACTTAAGATATCTATAAAAAAAAAGAAAATCACGCACACATTTAGACCTAAGGTAAAAACACAAATACCGAACAGTAACAGCATTATAAGCGACAAGATGTACTTTTAGTGCAAATTCTTTGACATATGAAACACTAAAACTCAGCTTAACGAAGAAAATAGCGATGCAAAAAAATCGGTTAGCTGTATAAAACTCGTACAAAAAGTTTTAACTGTAAATATTCATAAAAAATAAATCAGTCAAACGTTATAACGTGTTCTTCATACTAGTCTGACACGATACAACTGTATCTCAGCGTATAAAAATCAAATATATATGTCAAGCGAAAAAATTACTAACCAATTATTTATCTTCACTACTTTTCTTCTGCTGCCATGCTTTAGGAAGTTGTGGGCAATTTAAACACAGTGCGCAATAAAAAAAAAGGTGTGGAAAGCAAATGGAGGAGGCAAGCGAATATATTGGGATGGTAATAGATGCTTGGGAATAAAAAAAAAGATCGTTTTAGACCCAAAAATAGTAAGACGACGAGCTGCTCAACGCGAAACTTTTCAGGCCATCAAGACACCACCCGAGATATTCGCAGCGCGCTCAAAAATGAAACTGGACGACGCGCGCAAACTGGTCAAACCTGAGCTGAACATTGACGAGACAAACACGCGCCAAGTGATTGTCGACCCGTTCGCTCGGTACATCAAAAGCGAGGACCAGAATGTCGACGATTCCGAGGTCGATGAGGATCAAAAGGTCATCAAAGTTGCAAGAAAACCCTCGGCATCGGCCGAAAAATCCCAAAGCAGCCAAAAAAACAAGTCTGACTGGAAGCCCTCTAAGCTGAGAAAAGACCTGAAAGACAGCCAGATTAGAACGCCAAGGTACAAATTGGTGCAGCAGCACACCACCAACCCAAAAGTTACGTATAGCAAGATCGACGGCAATGGCGATAACAGCGTCGAGCAGACAACGAAATCGGCACTAATGGCCCGATACCAAGAACACAAGTACAAGTACGTACCTAAGCAGCGGGACAGAAAGTTACGCGGCCCAAAGCCATCTGATCTTGGGACTGGAATCGAAAGTTATGAACCGATTCCAACGACCAAGCCACCCTCGACCGAGAAGCCCCTCAAAATGTTCATGGTTCGCAAAAACGAGAAAGACCACGTTGAGGACGTGAAGGCCGTGGCGCTGAAACTTCGCAAGAGCCTAGAGAGCATGGACAAGAACCACACAAGCCGCCCACCGAGGAGGAGTGACTTCTCCGAGGGCTCGACCACCCTTCTAACAACCATGCGGACCGTCAAGTCCTTCTCTTTCTCGACCCGCCTGGTTAAAATGGACGAGAGCGAGGCCACCTTGTCGTCGTCCTCGGTGACCACGAAGATGTTGGAAGACGACGAGCTGAGGCCAACTGGAGTGCCCATCTCGACCTCCCTCGTCACCGAGATCGTCACATTCAACCCTGGGGAGAACAGTGTGACAACGTCTGGTTACGAAAGTGCGCTGATCTCGAGCGATCGGCCCAACGATCTTGCCAACGAGATCGAGCCACTAGTCAAGAGTGGCACCAACAGTCTTCTCGGCAATGAAGCCGAGAAAACCGCCTGGAAGGCCTCTGCTGGTGTGGTGGAGTATCGCGAGCCTCATGCCGCGGAACTTACCAATGACACCGGCTCGCCGGTCTTTGTGGTTTACCCGTCGGCAACGGAGAAACCGCTGAGCATCGCAATTACTCCTAAAATCTCCAGGTACCACACGACCGCGAAACAACCTGTAGACACAGCAGTTCAGCAGCCGGCAATACAGGAGGCTATGGTAAGCGTGAAAGTCTCGAGCAGCAGCAGCAGCAGTGGTGCCAGCAACACTTTGGCAGATATGCAGGGGCCTTTGATCGGCAGCGCGGGTGATAGTAAGAATATCTTTAATCCAGCTGAGAGCTCGGCTATCCTGGAAACCGGCAATGTTACGATTTTGGAGCAGCTGAGGAGCACTGTTGCCCCGCTGCTTGGATCCTTGGGCGCCAAGTCGCCCGTTTTCGCGGGAATTTACAAGAATACTAATAGTGCTGTAAGTATTGGGTTTCGAATGTTCAGAGGGACGTGGTAACTCTCATTTGAAGATTATTTTTAAGGGCTTTGTTGTTTTTATAAGCAATTTTTTTTTGTGAATTTTCAAAAACTTTTTTCCAAGATTACTATATGTTTTTGCCCCAATCTAGTCATTTAGTTTACACCATCACAAAATGAGAGTTATTGGTTTAAAATTATACATTACTTTGTTATAATTGATGTTTATTTTTCACAATAAATAGAATTCGTTACCAAGAGTAACACCAAGTGGTGCTCCTCCGAAATTTAGTGCTAGATATAAAGGAGCAGAACTATTTGTACGACGGCCAACACCTGCAACTATAATGTTATCAGAGGTAAGACATCGTTTTGAGCATCAAAATAGTATTTCGAATTTAAGCACTATTTCACAAAGCAAATTTAATACGGTAATCGATATATGGTTTTTTTTAAATGTACATATAATTATTTCATGCGATAGTCTAAGCATTATTACATTACGACTCGCACTGTAAATACACAAAACCACTTCGTAATAATGGTATTCTGGGCAAAATTTCGAGAATAGAAATAAACACTTAATTTATTCGTATGTACAATTTATTTGAAAAAAAATATAAATCCAAGCGCAACTGGTTGAAGTTTCTTTAACTATACATCTATTGTAAGAAATGTAAAACAAAAACCTTTTTTTTATGATTGATAAGGCGTGTTGGAACTAAATTTATTGTTTTTACCTAACTTTACATTCATAAGCAGAATCATTGCTAAAGATAAGTGAAAACCACGTTAAAATATAATGAAAATTAATAACTTCCTCACTTCTATTATAAGGTTGGAAGAATTTATAATATTAATCTTTACATATGGATTTATTGGAAATCCCTTCAAAGTAATCAAAAATATTGCATGGCTGGAAGAAATTTTTCACCCTTGGACAAAAAGTTAAAATTGTTGAGAAGATAATTAAGTTTGATTAATACTACTTATTTACTGTTTTGAAGCCGTCAAGTAAGCTTCTCACCCCTCAAATAAGATACATTCATTATACGGACAAATTTTTTAATTTATTAGATTAATTTTGTAGGGTGAGTTATACAATAAAATAACCAGTTTATAGTAATTTTGAAAAATAAATGTTTTGAAACTTATATAATTAGCTGTTTTCAATCAGACGACTTAGTGATTAGAATTATAATGAACATGTTATCAAATTGGAGATTTTTCTGGCTATGCAGTCTGTAATAAGGGGAGGTTTTTAAAAAATTTGAATCATAAAGTAAATAGAAAAAAATATTATAAATTTAGTGTAGTTGATCGTAAATACTTACGGACTCATTTAGTCTGATTTTAGTTCAAAACAAAATGTATTTTCCAAAAGTATGACAATGGTCTTTTACGATCAAAACTTCCTTTCACTATAACCAAAAGAACTTAAGTTCAAAATAATTTAAAAACTGAGAAAAACTAATATTTTCATTTTGTAAATGTTACAAGTTCATTTCGACACCTTGTCTAAAGATTATCACATCTCATGGTTTTTTATTCAAGGTGATGTGTTGAAATATCAGCTGTGTTAGTCTTTGTAAAAAATTTTAATTCGCTATGCACTATATTTGACTACCCTAAGACACTGTAAGTTATGTATAGCACACACGGAACGCACGAAATATTTTTTGTTTCCAGAATATAGAGTCAGCACCGAAGATAGATGTATCAAGTCCAGGCGAACCAAAAGTTTTAACATTTTATCGCGCAGTGAAATCCACCAGTGGAATAAATAATGAACAGACAGACGTACGTTCATTATGGCAGCCTGACAATATCACCCACGTAGAAAATAACACTACTCGTTATGAAACATCTGATATAAATAGCTTTGATATTGACTCATTATCATTAACGCCAATAATTAACATGAATACCACTAACAATATTGGCTCACTACCTTCCGAAAATTTACCAAATTTTTCACCTGACACGACAGAGTCCTTCGAAACTAGTACATCTTTTAAAACGACACAGCAGTTGGAACAAATATCAGAGAATTTTAAACCAGAGTCAACTACTTCTACTTTAGCAATTGATCGGGCTAATGAATTTCAAAAAAGTTTAAAGCACATAAATTCTTATCCTACCATAATTGATAGACTTAATGCTACAGAAGATACAACTGGAAATTCAATGTCAACCAGTACAGAGTTAATTACAGAAGTGTCAGTATTGTTCAGTGATATTTTGAGCCAAACAAATGCATTTAATATAATGACAACGCCGATTCCACTAGAATTTGCACCATCAGACGCAACCACAGCTGGAGACTCAAATACATTACCAACTATAGATTACGATACTCAAGGGAATTCCCAGAAAGTTCCTTCTATTCAACCATCTCAAATATATAACGCTGTAACTTCTACCAATACACCTGATGTACCTATAGCCAATACAGTTACAGAGAGAGCAAACTTACAATCAGCAAAAAAACTGGATGACTCGATTTCGAAAGAACAAGAAGTAAGTAGCTCATTGTTGGGTATTACTTTATTCTCAAATCAAAATGAATCGCCCAGACCTACAATTTTGGAGATTAAAATAGAGCAAGAACCTATGAAAAATACCAAATTAGAGATTTTGTCAAATGTTAAAACACCCGAGATCACTGAAGTAACCAAAAATCTGAGTTCAACCCAAAGTACAATTATTGAGTTAAGTCTGTTAAGTACGATTGATGATTCAACAAATGAATGGCCCCAGATAGTTGAACAGATGACCACTACACCAAAATCATCATCGCTAACTGATTCGTTCGTAGATTTCTCATTAACTACTGAATTACCCGATACAACTTTTAATAGCTTTACTGAAATACCAAACTTGACTAAAATGATACCAAATATAAATTCGTTTTCTCTTACGACTAATTTATTACGCCAAGAGAATAAGGAAGCAACAACAATTCAATTATCAGATATCACAAAATCGATAAACAATGCAATCTTAAGTGTACCCAATACAAGAGTTAATACATCTGGTACAGCTATCCAGTTCTACAATGCCACAAACACTACTGTTCCAGCAGGTACTAAAATACTAACAACTTTCAAAGATTCTTTATATGATGAGAATGAACGATTCGTTTTTAAGAAGCTTCCTGATTTAGAATTAAATAAGCAATATAGTCTTAACAATTTTTTAAATAACACTTTCAAGACAGAGTTAATAATTAGTTCTCCAAATACGAGTCAATTGTTACTAAATCTCGACAAAAACAATATGAATAGCTCACCCGACGGGCTTCTTCAGCTTTTGGGAGGCTTTTTAGATAATACAAATAAAAGTCAATCTGTGACTAATAATGGCATAGTAGAAAATAATAGTGAGACTTTAGTAGTTACACAAACAAAAATCATATCAACCACTACACTTCCAGAACAAATCACTAGTTCAGTGAATACCGACACTTACGCTAAAACAAACTCATTAAATCTTATTACTGATACTCAAGCAAATGTTGAAGCACTTGAAACAACCACTTTATCCCAAATAACAATCAATCAAACTTTAAATGGCTCAATTAATAATGTAACTAATACAGCAAACATATATTTACCTACTCTTACCCGCATGATAGAAATAGTTACTAAGCTTTTAGATATAAATTCTCTTCAAGAAGTTTCTATGGATTCTCTTACGCATAAAGTTAATTCACTAACTAGTAATGCAACAGAATCTTCATTAATGATCGAAAATTTAACTAGAACCTTATTAATAGATGATTCTATTAACTTAGAAACGACAATTAAGTCTATCCAAAACCAAACCACCCCCGACCTTTCAACTATTATTCCAACTCTGTTTACCCATTTCCAGGGATCATCGCGAGCAACCGCCCAAAGGACGGCAGGTATCACCAAACGACCCAATCAAAGTTTCACCACATCAAACCCAAAACTCAACTACCCATCATCATTCGCATTCTCCTTAAATACCATTAATACCAATAAGTTATCCACTAAAAACCTACTACCATATGCCTCGGCAAAGACAACGATCAACCTAGAGTCTGTACCTTCAAAGTTTTTATCAACAACAAAGGATTCTTCAAAAAATCAGCAACTAGCAAACTCTCTTGGAACATTTGGCACTTTTATGTCTACACCAGCACCAATGATGAGTTCCAGTACCTCTACTGCAGCACCACTCCGAGATTATGTAATTTATGGAGTCTACCCAAATAAGACGATAGTCAGAAAACGCCCAGAAGATAATATTATTGACCCAAGAAATGTGGACAGCCCCTACGTAATATTTGGAATCTTCCCCGATGGAAGACTCATTCGCAAGTTTCCCAATGGCACGATTATACCGGATCCTCCCAGCAGTCCAGTAGAAGTTGTATTTTCTCTAAGTACAACTACCACCACAACTAACAAGCCCAGATTAATCGTTAACCAGGCTAGTAATCAGAATTTGCGTAACCAGAATATCGGCTTCTCTAATATTCGTAACCCAATAGCCAATGTGAATGCCCAGAAAGAATTCTTCGCCCCTAACGAAGTTGATAATGCACTCAGTTATAGTGGACCCACTGGCTTTGATCTCCCTATTGCTAGCATTGTTGGCAATAATAAAGCAACGGTATAAAATCATTTTTACATTAAAGTAATTTTAAGAAAACACTTTATTGTAGTTATAGAAAAAAATGCCAATTTTAACCAAGATTCCTTTAACGTTAGATTCGTCTTTGAGTTTACAAAAAACTAAAAGAAACCGTTTTCCTAATGTTAATCACTAAGTAGCATAATTACAGTGACGTTCTAGTAGATGAATGTCGTATTTTGGCATAAAATATCTCTTACCTCCTTCAACTCGTATTGAAAGGTTTTTTCTTCGTACGTTTACTTGGACAAGTACTTTGTGTTTAAAGACAAACGTTCTTTTTTAATTGTTTACCAACGTTATAAAAAAATCTTTGAAATAATTTTTTTTCTCATTTTCCAAAATGTGTGTTCATCTGTTCCTCTAACCTCGTTTAATCATCAATCGCCAACAAATTGAATTTTCTGCGTACTCTTTCATTTCAGGTTTGACATATTAAAATATGACTCGTCCAAGAGATGTGTATTGTATAAATAAAAGCAAAGATGATGTTAGCCCCGTTCAGTGTCTTCTATTCTTATAGCTCTGTAATCAGAGCCAACATAATATAATTATAGTTCGCAACCATCTGCACTATAAATCTAAGCTGAAGCTTGATGTTATACAACTGTAAGTGAAAGGTTGGCGTTATATGATGTTTATTGAAAAATCCACCGCATAAGATTCTAGTTATATTTTTCGTGTAATATGATTTCTATTTAAGACTCCCATACATCGTTATGTTAGTGCAAAATAAATTCAATCAATTTATATCTTTAATCTCAGTGCAGTATAACTTTGACTTGCAATTTTATGTGATTTTTTTTTTTTAATTCCGGCATGAAAATTATTACTTGAGATTAAGTTAGATGACGGCCATGAGGCACGATCTTGCATTTTACGAATAAGTATCAATCAATGTTTACGATAAGTAAAAATCATCTGATCGCAAACATGATGAATGAGGGAGATAACAGGTATAAGCACTGCTTTGATTGGCAGATATATTACAAATAATAAATTAGTGGTAAAGTATATACCAAATACACAGAGAATAGCAAGCTTTCATATAAAGTTGAGATAAAGAATGGACTTTAGTTACTTAGGTAATTGGGTCAGTATTAAACAGCTCGAACTGTGTACAAGAAACCCTGCATAAACGTACTATTTCATTTCCAATGTTACACAACGAGAGTGAAAAATCATCCATATTCTAAAAACCCCACCTTAACGAACTTTTTTGAGCTTTTCATGTAATTTTCAGATAACTTTCTTTGTATTGAAAAACTTTAATATCTTTCTACAGTAGCTTGCTCCTCCGAGGCTGACGAGTGAATGAAAAATCGTGGTATTTATTAATTGAGTTACATGAAGAGTAATTCTAATTTTTGTCTCATATCAAATAACATGGCCAAGGAGCTTATACCACTATAAACTATACAAGCTTCGAAGGCATGTAAAAAATTTTATTGCATGTTTTTATCATGCGATGAACGATTGTTTGTGAAATAACGTATGTTGTAAAGTGATGAGGTTATACCGCATTAGAAAATAGAATAAATTTAACGTGTGCCACTGCAAGAATTTTACTAAAGGAATTTAAATTAAACAATACAATACAAGTGCTAAAAGTAAACGAAAACATTAATTGTTTTTTTTTTAATCATACAGTATATGATTTTCTGTAATATTGCTTGTATACGATGAAGAACCATTTTGTCAGATCTCCTAAAACAAAAAATATGAGTTAGCACTATAAAGCACGGAGTGTTAAGATATAACTTTATTGAATTTGCTTGGAATTGACGTTATAGTACATAGGAGTTTTATTTAAAATCACATTATACGCAAAAGGTAAATAGAATCTAATACTATCAGTAAAAATATACTGCACTTACTTTTTACTTAGAGTTATACAGTAATCAAGTTTAACTTAGAATACATTACAGTTGATTAGAAGTTATAGTTATGCTATACTAACTCAGAAAATTGAATTATATGAATAGAATGGATCGAGTTATACTAAATATAAGTCGCAGGATATTTTCATCTAATTTAAGTCATCTTGTCAATTAATATTATAAGTTAATAAGGACTAGTAATTTTTCGAATGAAAATTAGAAAGTCTATTCTGACGCGGAAATTCGCACTACATGGAAATATCCTGAACATTCCATTATGTTTCCAACTCGATACTGTACATCTCAGATTTATCATGTAATTTTGTACACAGTACTTGCAATATTAGAACATAGCACTTTGCACATTAAATGATTTGTAAAAAGTTTAGACACCTAGATCAAAGTATGATCTCAACACATAGTTTTTTTTCAAGATATTAAAAAACTCTTGTCACTTTCCGATATTTATAATTCCTGTGTACATACTGAAAAAATTAAGCACTGTTGTATTATCCATACACCAATATGATAAGCAATAAATTGATGAGACATATCACGGTATTCATAGTAGCTGACTGATACTGACTAAAATTTCAAGTTATTCTTACGCAACTTTATGTATTCTTTAGACAACAACGATTTCAAAAATGGCATTTGTAAATGGTAGTCAACCGGGTGGTCAAACCGTTCTGGACCATACAAGAAATAAAGTATCCAAGACGAATAATAGTGACGGGGGTCAAAGTTCGATAATTAAAAGTCAGGTAACGTAAGACATAAGACTAAATAAACTATAGTTTGTAGTTGCTAGTTCATATAAAATAAAAATTTATTCTTTTGTAGCATAATTACGGAAACTATTGGGCGCATGATCAGCCAAACAGTACTCCTAAGATTGTTAATGTTAACTTCAACTCTGCTGCTGTAAGTAGAAATATTCAAATAACTATTTTTTACGCGAACACGTCAATTTTTAATTATAAAAATTTATGTATTATAAATATATGTATTTAGTAACAAAAAATTCATTAAAGTGACAGTTTTCCACTTCATCTTGCTCCTCATTTATACATTTTAAATGAAACAAGGACACGTCTGAGTGTGGTGGAGCATCTTTATTAAGTTAATCTGTGACGTTTTGCCAATTATTGTTGGCCTCTTCATGAAGGATTCACATAATAAAGATGCTCTATCACACTATAAATTATTTTTGTTTCATTTAAAACAATAAATTTTGACAGTTATTATAAAAAAACTTTATCACATTTTTCATTTTATTAGGTCTCCACGAAGGAAAATTCACAAGTTTCACTTCAATCGCCCATTAACTTAGATATATTTCCAAACAGCCAAACTGGTAGCCAAGTAACAGCACCCCCTGGTTTTCCGTGGCAAGATCCTTTGAATCAAGTTTTTGGCATACCCACTGACTCCCCTGTTTCAAGTGGATCAGTTGCTTCAAACACTATTGTACGTAATTAAACAACAAATCATACTTAGATATTCTCTTAGAAATCATCATAAAATAAAAAATTAATTATATTTGTCTGATGTGAAATAAATAGCAAAGAACGGTTTATTTTACAATCACTTAAAGAATATGAATTAAGATGGTTCGTATACATTCTAAATTTACGTTGTAATTTTATAAATATTTTTTCACTGCCGTAACATTGATGGTTACCATAAAGTTTTTATGTATTTTTTAATACTGACTTAGGAGGCATTTTAGAATTTGCAGTGGAGACAGATCTTAAAGTTGTTAGTATGCCTTGACCCCAAATACTTATTCTATCGTTCAATAAAGTTATTATCATTTTCATGGAATGATCTATTTGTATTAGGTAATTTCATCAAGTTCCATCATACAAATTGTAATATTTTTAATAGGACGACAACAATTCCAAAAATGCAGCTATATCAGCACGTCCACCGAGTAAATCAATAGAGATTTTTAGCCCTGTATCAAGTACAATCAATTCTCTTATAAATAATCCAACAAAGGCAACAACAAAAACAGTATTAATATCTACGACCAGAATAATGCCAACAACTCAAACTTCAACAACTACAACTAGCACAACAACGACAACAACTCAAACTCCAATAACCACAAGTTCAACGACTTTGCTTCCAATCACTATGAGTTCGAACGCTTTTGGGACAACGTTTGACGACCTAGCTTTCTTAAATGCTTTGGTAAGTATATCATGGATCTTTTCTTAATTTTAAGTCGAAAGGTTTTTTTTTACTTCACAAGTGTAGAAATGAAAGAATTATAACGGTTATGCAACCGTTTGTTCGTTCACAAATAATTGTAATATTCACATCTTAAGCCCTAATATATGAAATAATTGACTATTCTGTAAAATTAATAAGTTAAATTATGTGACAGTGAGCTAAGTACAAATTTGAAAAAACACTCATAAAATTTATTTCCATATTTTGTGAATGGATAGACAACGCATCCCTTTAATTTTTAGTCAATTGGGAATACTATTATTATTCTGATAAATAAGGTTCAAATTTTTCTCTTTTCTACGTATAAGAACTTGGCGCGAAGTCAATTTGGTTGTTAGATTAACTTTTTCTTGTGGATGGCTATTTTTTAAACTTCTATTTACTCTGGTATGATTTGAAAAATTTTTTAAACAACAAAATCTTTAAAATTCTGCAAAGTTTGTTACTACAATTCGATAATCTATTATTTTTGTCGAATGATAAAGAATTTTCCCTGGAACCACAACACAAATATCAAATAAAAATAAGATACATGTAAAGAAGTCAATTAATTCTTTAAAATATAATAAGTTAATTTAATGTTTTGTGAATGACAAAAATACATTAAATATTTTATAACATATCATTGACTTGTTCTTACAGTTGGAAAAACCAAGTCAGAACGAAGGCACACCCAAGACCCTCTCAGAAGCAGAACAGTTGCTGGCCAATAAGGTAGTTCCTAAATCAGATTTTTGTCTAATTTTAACTGTACTTTAGAATTCTTTAATCTTGATCTTAATTTTAATAAAACAAAAAAATTTTGTCATTTCTAAAAATTTGATTTAAATTTTTGATCCAATTATCGAAAATAATTGCTTATGAGTTTCTTGTTAAAAAAGTTCTTTAAGACTAGAGTATAATAATCTGAGTAAGTATTAGTGTATAGAGGGTAAATACATAACTTTCTTGTATATGAATTGCTGCAGGCACTTTAATTATTTACTGCTTTAATTTAAGCGAAAGCATGTTTGACATGAACGTTATTTTTTATCGTATTCCTTACAATCAAATTAATTGAAAACTGGAATTCAAATAAACAAATTCTTTACATAATTATATATTTTATCATTTATTTTTATTTGATAAAAATATTTTGTCAATTTTGTTTAAATGTAATTGAAAGGAGTACAGAAAAAAAATTAAGCTACTTATTATGCTTCACGTGAGACACTACTTAGTCTCATTACCATTCCTACTATAAGTAAAACAGACGGACCAGTAAAGAATGCTGATAAAAAATATACTGAACTGATAGACTTTACAAAAAATTGAAAAACTTCTGAAAACACAGACAAGATCTCACTTTCAACATCCCAGTTATTTCGTTAATTGACAGAAGAAACAAGTGTGGCGTACATGTCCTGAAAAATTCCAATAATCACTTGCCACTCGCTTATATTTTTTTCGGAATAACATTTTTGGAAATCGTTCCTTTCCCCCTCCCTACTACTCTTTAAAAGAAAAAAAAAGAGAGAGTGAGGAAGAGGGTCTAAAATATTCAACGACCAGCGTGGCCTCCGGCTTTCATACCACGTACACATAAGCGGCGGTATGCGCGCATCTTGTGAGGGAGTAACAGAGCTTTGCTATGTAGCCAGGCTGCTGTTTCCACCAACGATGCATATATTCTTTTTTCTCAATTCAACAGAATTTACGCTGCCAGTGACATGTTTCTGCGCCTAGCTAGCCAATTATAAAGTACATGTGCACTTTGTTTGCGCGCGCCTTTGGATTCTTGTATGGAATTAAAAAATTAAAAAGAGTGTAAAAGGGGATGGCTGGCTTCCTTGAAAATAGTATTAACTTTTTGAGCACGAATGTTTACACACGTTGTTTTTAAAGTGGCCAGTTTAACCATGGCCACGTCTGTAGGTATTTTACTTTGTTGCCGATGTTTTTCAGAATTTCACAACGTGTTATCTTTACTAATCCTTTAAAATATTGGTATATACTATTGTGACGCTATCATGCTCACAAAAACAGAAAATGTTTCTGAAATCAGCTATTATTTATTAAAAATTATCGAACTATATTATTGAATTGATTGAAAAAAAACTCTAATGAAAAAACGATTTATTTTTGTAGATCTTATCCTTGGCCCTTGGAAGATCTTTCAGAGATGGTAGCCCAACGCGATCGCCAAAAGCTATTCAGTTGTCCAACGCATCCCCAAATTCTATTGGGTACAATAAAGATTCCGTATCGACTTTGGCACCAAGTTTCACTGGTTCATCTTCTCAACCAATATTTATTGATTTACAAACTTCTACAACAAGAAGACCTTCATCGACCTCAACAACTCCGTTTACATGGAAACCTATCAGAACATTTGTTAACTTTGGCGATGACTTACAAACATCACCGAGTACTCTGACAAGTACGGCAAGTCCCACGACACTAAAGCCAACTACAACGTCAACGACAACTACTACGACACTAAGGCCAACTACATCGTCAACGACAACTACTACGACACTAAGGCCAACTAGAACATCAACGACAACTACAGTGACTCCAAAAACCACAACAACAACCAAGGAAACAAGTCCTACCACTACGCAGAAAACTACAATAACTAAAGGGCCTGTTATCATAACGGCTAAGCCAGTGACAACAAAAAGGCCAAGACCGGTCACCCAAGCTCCTCCTTTGGGACCATTTGGTATGCATTTCTTTTAACTATTATTGGAAAACGATTTCTTTTTTGTTATTAATTTAATACAGTCTTTCAATTCGTTTTCAGCCTTTGCAGCAAATATTCTACAAAATATATTTGGTCGGAATCTCTTTAACCCCTTCGCACAGTCAACAACATCTAGACCATTTGTCCGGCGACCATCTTCCACGTCTAGACAAACGGTCTTTACAACACCCAGAACAACTTCGACTACTCCACCAACGACTACAAGGGTGACAACTTCTACCACGACAACAAGAGCTCCGTTCGTGGTACTTGCACAGACGAGTTATACTCCAAGATCAATTCAGATTGCAAATAGTGCTGTTGAAGTAACAAATGGTCAAGTTGCTGCATCGTCAAATATAGTTAGCAATAGTGGGAGGCCAGTTGAAGTAACTCCAAGGTCAGCAGGTGCCAAACAGTTGACCACCTATTCTCCCGAAGAGGATGCTAAGTTTTTAACAGCCCTTCTGAACGCAGCTCGGACTAGTCGGACTTTGGGTGGTAAACATATTGAATTTTTTTTCTGTAAAGTTTATAAATAGTAAATTCATCGGTAATAGTTTTTTCACAATGCTTGGTGAATGTAGCTTTTTCTATTGGTCAATTTTTCCAATACTCCTTGGCTCAAATAACAGAGGAAATACTTGAAAAAATTATTCAAATGATAATAAAGTTTTTAAAAACTACGGGAAAATATAAAAATTATGATCTTAGACAAATCCCTTTAGTTACCTTATTTCTTAAAGTTAAATTCCTCTAACAATTGGATTTCAGTCAAAGATGGAGGGACTTCAAAACCAAAACCAGTGCTAAGTACCGATGATGAAGCATTTCTACGATCAGTTTTTAACAGTCAATCGAAAATCAAACCACTGTCAACAGTAGGTGGTAACGACGAGAACGACGCAGCGTTGCTGGCGGCATATTTAAAGTCACAAGGTGTTGAGCCATCGACACCAGGTTCGCTAAAGGATATGTTTCAGAATACCGTAAGTATTTTTGCTTTAGTTTATACATTTTCCTGAACGTAGCTGCTTGTAATGGTTTCTACAAAGATTAAAAAAACCCACTAAACATTATTAGAGTTCTTACATTTGAAATACATGCATTTCCCTAAATATCACCTGTATCATTCAAAAGAAACAAATTTTTTACATGTTCGTAATATTATAATATTTTTTTGAGCCCCATGATTTAATACTTATAAAAATACCTCTGATATCATTATACTAAAAATTGCACAGTATTAACCTTGTTTCCTACATAATAAATACAGATAGGAGCGTGTTTCTAACTCTATCTATCTTTTTAGTTGATATCATTAAAAATGAAACGTAAACGTGTTAAAGTAAAATCTATATAATCAATGATTTAACAAATTAAATTTTAGTTGTATGTAACAACTAAAAAAGTAATTTTACAATTTGATAACAGTGCAAATTTTAGGGCAGTTTTTGCATGACTCTTAAATCAAACGTGTGACTGTTACGTGGACAATAACTGAAATTCATAAAAAAGTTGAATGATGTTATAAAATTAAGTCGTGTACTTCCAAAAAATTTGAAATTCAATATATAGTAGAAATTTTAAGAAAAGTTTTTAGAAACGCATTTGTGAATATTGACATTTTCGTCAATATTTTTTAATTAAGTTTGATTGTTCATACTTTTCGAGACTCTGCTAACTCACAAAAACTATTTTTAAGTTTTTTATTTACCAGTATTCAGAAAAAAACGTCTACTTTTTTCTATAAAATGCCTTTGTTTCACAATTTTCGACTAATAACATGAGCAACCTTCAATGACACTTGTTAATATCTGCGTATGAAATAAAAAAAAACAAAAACAAAAAAAATTGGTTGCACAGAACTATGGTGAAAAGATGTCCGTAACAACGACAACAAAACGACCAACGACAATTACGACAGAAAGAAGTACGACGAGGACACAGCGACGAAGGCCTTCTAGCTCAACTTACCCCACGCCGTTGTTCAGATTCGGCGCTTTCGGTAGCAGCGCCGGTAACGGCATGGGTGATGATGAGTCTGACGAAGGATTCGGACATACGGTTCGCAATCAAGTTGTCAATGCTGCGATTGGCATGACTCGAGCGTTTGGTCAGTTCCTTGGTGCTGCCATAGCGGTTAGTTGCAATTTCTCATTGTTTTATTTATCAGACTTTTATATACACAGAGCACATTGTATAAAATAGTTTGTTGTAGCACACTCTTATCAGACAATAATTCAGTAACACGTTATTGGAATGCAAAATCATTAAAGCTATGGATAGTTGTTTGGATTTTCTATTCCTTTTAAATTACAAGCTCCAATTCGCAATAAGATAAATTATTGTGGCATTAAAGTAATCGAATATAACATCATGTACCACAGTGCTATTATTTCTATTCCCCATAAAACAATATGCACAATCTTTCTTTAGCAACGCAACACCTATGCTTTATATAGCTATTCAAACTTTCCCGTAGGTAAAATAAATGCACGTTTTTTATCACTTTTACGTTGCCTTTTGGCTTTTTAAGTAGTGCAAGTAATTTTCAAACATTTTTTGCCTTCAACGAATAGGTTTTGGGCTATCGATAATGTAACTTTCCTGATAAGCAATTATCCTCTGTTTTCCATTTGCACAGCCAAACTGTATTAATTAAGTAGTAATAATCCAGATCGTAACTACAACATGTACAGCAGAAAACTAGATATTAGAAAAAATAAAACTCATAAATAATCGCTTATGTTACAGGGAGCCTCCCAGCAAATCCAGTTTTTTGTTCGAAATGGAACAAGATGGGGCTAAGCCTTTTAACTCACACAAAATATGCACTACTTTTTTACGACACTTTTGAGAAATTTATCACAACAAACAGCATATTTTAACACTATGAACGAATCGTCAGGACTGTGAATCATTGATGAGGTTTCCCGAAGTAGAATCTTCAAAATCAGAAGACAAATGCAGTAGAATTCTCAAATACTGGATCAAACACATAGATATCCATGTATCTACAAAAAACGATTTTAAAAAAGAAATAAAATAGACGATAGAAATTGGAACTCTTTAAGGTTTGACTACTTTATAATTGAATTTGAAGAATGTTTTGTAGCTGCTGGTGCTTCGGACCAACCAATTTTTTTATAATTTTTAAAAAAACATCACACCAACATTGATTAAAAGTTGAATGCGTTACTTAGGATAATGTTGTTGATGACAAAATAGTACTTTGCAAACGTTTCTAGGGTAAGCCCTTCCAAAGTTATGCATATTGTTGATGTTTTTAAAAATATGCGGAGTTCAAAAAAAAAAATTTTTTCATATTTAACGTCAAAATCTAGTTTTAGTAATACATACAACAAAGTTTTGTAGTCATTTCTGTAAATATAATCATTAAAAATCAAAATTATATTTATTCTCGTACTATTTAAACAATTACAACGTAATACAAAATAACTTAAATAGTTGTTGTTGGGAGTACTCCTGAAACATTTGTAACGTTGAATGTTAATAATGTAACAAAGACACAGAGTAGAAAGGCTACGTGAGCATGAAGGTTACTATTTTTGAAAATTACAATTAAATAATTTATGAAATACTTGGAATGCTAGGCAGTGAATAACACAATAAAAATTTTTAATAACCAAGCATGCAGTTCAACCGTCGTGGATATAACATGATTTTCTGCTGGTATTTTCGTAATCAATCGAGAGTAAGGGTCTCGTTACACTATCATTATAAAAATTATTTGTATTACTATCAATATAATTATAAGTATTATTATTGTCATTATTTTAATTATTTTTTAAATATCATTATTTTTATTATTATTATTACTACTTTGTACAGCAATATCTACAAATGTTTACTTGTAGCGTGATTTGTTTTGTAAAATAAAAGTGGATTGTAAATAGTGAATTCCATGCCAATCAATTTTTTGTACCAAAGCCTAATTCTTTCAGAAGGTATACAATCGTGTGGAAACCAATTAAAATTATTTGTCTCTAGTATGTCAAAAGTTGCATTGTTTGCTTCTTCAAAGTCACTATGCTAAAATTAATGTACAAATCTAAAAAAATGTAAGAAAAAAGTTTTGATCTAAGAAATAAAAATAAAAAAAATGAAGGAGGAAAATATATTTAATAGTAGATAAAAAAAAACAAATTTATAAAGCTTATAATCACTCTAAGATAGTATTTAACTGTTTCTCTACAAACTAAAAAATTTTACATCTATTCTGGACATTTCTCGAAACAAAAATCTTCTTATCAAAGACATATTCATTCGGAATCCAAACAGTTTATTTTGTCAAATAATGAGCTGTAAAAAGTGAAAAAAATTTATTTACGCTAAGAAGTATCGTGCGTTCCTTAATATGATTGCTGGCCCAAAGTAACGTTGATTTTCACTTTCTCACGTGATAATAAGTGAAAGGACTACTTGTTAAAACTATAAATATTTAAAACTGATCAAAAATATATATTTGAATAATATTTTTTTTTTTAATCTTACAACTTTGTTACCAGAACAACAAAGTCCTGAAGCTTAAGCTCTCCATTTTTTATTGCCACAATTAATAAAAATACACATTATTCTACCTACTTAAAAACCTGGAAGATTTCAGTGATTACTGTCAGCGTTATAATAAAAACCTTATCTCTCACGTAATGAATTCTTTATTAGTCGAATTTGACGCTGCTGTTTCAATCTTGATGAATGTTCTGCGTCAGTTTTGATGCCAAAAATTTTTAACATTTGAAGCATTTTAAGTTTTCCTTCCAATTCGCTCTCTTGCAACTTTTGGCATAGTTAAGACTTTTGTGAGCCCTAAAGGCTTTTTTTTTAACTTTATTAAGTTGTTACATATTTGTTGGCTGGGTAGTTTGTCGTCCAATGGCTCCATAAAGGACTGGTGAACTGAACTCGTTCTTGACTGAAGTTTCCAGCAAACGTGACTGCCTGGATTCTTTAGGGTGATTTCCTCCGGCCTGCTGTTGTAGCACCAGACTGATCGTGAGGAAAATCACAACGTCTGAAGCGTTAGAGCTAGTTGTAGAGCTCTTGAGATCTTTACTAACGTCTCCTGGTGTTACACTATAGACGTTGGTGTCTAAGCCACTTTTTTTCCAGAGCTCAGTTATTGTGGTGATCTAGGGTGGGAAGATTGGTTCGTAACGCTTGCTCGTTGGAGACTGTACCGTTTGCTAAAGTTTTTTTTTCTTTCGTAGCTGTTAGATTCGCCTAAAGCAGACCTTTTACAAAGTCGAGAGAGTAATGTCATGTAGGGTCGTCAGTCGCCGGGGTTCTTAGCCTTGCTATGAGCAACTTCGCTTGTGACGTCTGCCAGTGAATTAGTTTATTTTTTGTCCGGCTTTATATAGTCTTTTAGTCGACGAATTGTTGCCGGAAGTAGTAGTGAACATGTATTTTTTGGCAAGGTAGTTTAAAGTTACGTCACATTACAAAGAACTTATGAAAATGATGGTTAAGTAGTGAACATAAATAATTATTACGGTCCTGAAAAAGACCAGTAGTGATACTTCTTGCCATTACTTATAATTAATTTTGATGATGGAGACTTGGCTGTGCGAGTAGCTTGTCTCTGACCCTCGGAGTCTCTTCGTACAGAGACCGTGCAGGAGGAAGGTACGCCACTGACCAAAGAATATCTCGACAGCCGTTTCTATGAATCACTGAGGAGCCTGCTGTGGTTGTCTGAACTCAGGGTTGTTCTTCCTAACTTGCTGCTGTAATATAATCTGCTCTGGTAGCAGCACCAGGTCGGTTAGAAGAATGGGCATAAAATCCCAAATTGCTAGAGCAGAGTGTGCTTTTGCTAGATGTCCCCTGGTATTTCGCTGGAAACGGTAGCGTTCATAACGTCTTAGTATTGGTGGCTGCTCATCAATCACGATGGTTCAGGATAGAGTTTGACGTAAGTCGCTTGACCATCAGAAAATAATGTTGTCGGTAGCTGGGATATCCAGCAACACGACTTCTAGCTCTAGGCTTCATGCACTGTCTGTGAATGACTGTGTATTTGGTTCGTTGCTCGGGCCTATTACAACCACACTTATTAATCTCAGGTGCAGGTTGTTTCGTAATTTATTTTTTTTATACTTCAGTTTATCTAAATGCATGATAAAAGATCTTTTCTATTATTTAACGTCAATGTTTATTAAAAATTAAAGATGAGCACGCTTGATAGTAAGAGATTAGAAAAAGTTCATAATGATAGAAAGGAAAAAAAAAGAAAAGGATAAGGTGCGAGTGAAATACGACAAGACATAGCGCGTTGGAGGGTCCGCAAAGGTATTGAAGAAAAGTAAAGGATATAGTAGTGGCAAAGGTGGCGCTCTTGGAACAGCAAAACTAAGAGATGCCGTAAGGTCAGCGGGCGACCCGAAAAAGGAAGAAACAAAAATTAGTGGAGACCACGTATTTATGTATGTGTGCGTGTGTGTGTGTGTATGTGTGTGTGTTTATGTGTGTGTGGCTTCAGGGCAAAGGAAAGGGATGAGGAGGAAAAGTAGAGAGAGCAGGAGAAGGGAGTGATGCAGGGAATGGGTGGAAGAGGGAGAGAGAAGAATAATAATAAGAAGGAAAAAAGGAGGAGGTAGAAAACACCGGTAGGCAGTTTTGTAGCTGTTTTTATCAGCTTCTGGGCATCTCCTTTGACCGACTCGAGTGGGTTGGCTAGCTGGCTGTATAAGAGAGAAGCCGAGACGCATCTTGGGGGGCTCGTGTGGGAACGTACGTCTCTTTAGTGAAGAGAAGCTTTAACTCCTCTACTTTCTCCCCTCCCGTTTCTTTACTCTCCTGGCCACCCTTTTGCTCTTTCTTGTTGTTTGTTGCCATTTCTCCCTTTGCCTTTTCTGTACTAGTGTTGCCACTGTTTTGCTTTCTCTTTCTTTCTGTTTTCCTTAACTTCTACGTGCTTCTTTTTTTTGTTTCCTTATCTTTTTATACTTCTTCCTTAGCGCTCTTTCCCCTTTCTTTTTTACTTTCTTTCTTCTTTTTCCTACCCATACGACACTCTGTTTCATTTATCTCTATTCTTTTTTCTCTCGTCGGTTTTTAGGATTTCTATTTCTTATGACGTCAGACTCATCACCTTCTTGCTTGACATCAATTTGTATCACGCAAGTATTTTTCTAACGAAGGAACATAACTTGGTCTCGTTTGTCACCAATTACCTACAATTCATATCCAACAGCAGATAAATAAATACAGCACCAATCCATTACATGTTTTTCTTCCAAAGAAATAAAATCTGCTAATTCGATAAATTCTTGAGCTGGATATTCAAATCGATACTCGTTTAAGCTAAAACTCGGATGGAAAGAGCATTGAACACCATTCAATTAGTTTTCAAAGGGGAATTTTTGGAAATCATTTCAGCCTCGGAGAAATCTTGGTTTGGCTGCTACTCGGGCTTCTACTGATTAGCGTCTTCACAGCCAATCCGTCAGATCCTCTTCTCCTCACTGATCAATAACATACCAAACAATCCAACCCCTCGGGGCCGTAAAAATTATTTTTCTTTTTCCATCTCCCGTCCTCACTTGAGGTTTGTGCTCTTCCATCTTCCACCAAGTACTACTAGCGCTTCCCACAGTTGCTCAGGAACAGCCTGCAGGCCGATGTTGCTGCTGCAACCAAGTGTGTACATGTGCACGTGCAACAGCATCCTATGACGCGAATGTGAGCCTCGTATGGATTTCTTTTCTTACGCACTTATAGTTGTTAGAAATTGCATGCAAGCAAAATACATGTAAACTTATATTTCTTAGCCCTAAAGGAGA